GCTGCAGAGTAGCAGTACACTTACACAGCACAAATACTACAGACAAGCAAAAGCGAGAACACTAACAAAGTTCCTCAGACTTGTTCTTATGACTTGAATGATCTTGGGTGCCTTTGAAAACTTCCAGCACTGTGTTACACAAAACGCACAAGCAATGCCAATCCCAGTTCTGCACTCCTGGGATTTTGCCAGCACTCACAAATTAGTCTGAAAATAATGCATGGCAAGAGGGAGACATCCTCATCTAATACAAATTAAGGCAATTCCACTTCTGGACTTGAATCAAGAGTAATGGTTCCGCTTGGGTCTTCTCTGACCCCGGACTGTGGAAGACACTAATTTGACAGTCTTAAAAAAGGTTTCTTTACCTTAAAGCTAATTTTAGCATTTATCATACAGACTAGTAAACTTAAGGTATTTGGTGAGTTTTATTTCAGCAAATTTTATTCAGTGAGTTTATTACTTGCAGGAAATCTTTGTACAAGCTAGGGAAAGGAGCCAGGTCTCCCACCTTCTAGCCTCCAACTCCCATCACAAGGTCAGTCTCAATGTTAAATGTTATTAATTTCCAAGCATTACTACAAAGCATATATTTTATTAATAGGGGGTTTTTACATGTCCTTGTTTTAAGCAAGCCACTGTACACAATACAATCCACAAAAAAAGCCAGAATTCATCAGTGTCACTGTTTAGCTACCATTAGCCTCCTAAATTTACTGTATTAATACATTAACTCCCACTAAAATATTCTAACCCAGCAGTTAATTTCTCTTCTGTGAATAGCTCTTGAGGGTACAGCAGAGTCTATAGTCAAGAGCCTAGACTCTGACCCAAAACTGAAAGACCTTTCAACCTCTTTCAACCATACTTTAAGTAGAATGTGCAGGGGAAGCAAGAAAAGTATTTATTTAAACAGCACAGCACCTTTCAAACCCCTGCTCTTTTTGACTGTAGGGAGCCATTTGTTCCAAGACAAGCAAGCAAGTAGCGTAGCTTGCTTCCTCACCAGTATGTATTGACAAGTGTGCTCTCCATCCTTTCTCCTTGAGCATGTTTGTGCACAGGGAGTTCTCAAAAATTCATTGGAGATTGCTGGATCAAACAGCAGATTTTTAAAGCTGCTTAAAGAAGCTCACATTACAAATTGCTGCTTCATATTCTTTATTATGCAGTATATTAAATCAAGTTTTTCATAAGCAAATGTTTGCTTAAATCATCAGATGAAAGTGACATTCAGAAAGCTGTGTTCTCATACTTCTACAGAAGTGTAACAGCAACACAAACACACCAGTCTGGAAAGGAGGCATATTAATGATCTCAGTGTCAAGAAAAAACCTTCAGTCATTTTTTTCTGGTCATAGCAAGCCTCCTCTCCTCATATGGATTTTCCTTGAAGTTGTGCACATTCAGTGTCTTACAGAGTTCTGCTGCCTAAGGATGAGCATCGGGTTTAAAAAACCCTCCAAAGCAACGCTGCTCTCAGAGATTAAAGTAGCTATATCAGTAAATACTGAACACTTCACTGAATTAGCGGACTCAAGACTCTGTTCTGACTACAGCTAGCTTTTGCAAGCCCAAGTCTCGTTCATGCCCTTGAAAAGGCACCACCGTGGAAGGGCCACGCTCACCCCGGCAAAACCCCTTCCATGCCTCATGGCTTCCCGCGGGGTTTGGCCCCACAGGCCAGGTAACCTCTGCACACCCAAGTGTACCCTCAGGTGCCCGACAATCACACCAAGTGTAGTGACTTCTTCACACGGGCTTCTCTAAATCCTACGTGTCCCCGAAGCCCAATTCTGCCCAAACTTCCTCGGAAGCCAAAACGGGCACCCTCCTCTCCCTCAGTCTCCAGCACCCACACCCTTTTCCCTGCTCCCCCCGCAGCCCACCTGGGCTCATTCCCGCATCAGCCCGCACGAAATCCACCTTCTCCCAGCCAATCACCTCTCCATCAGAAGTTATTTCCTCCCCCATAAAAATCAAAAGAAAGCACGTTATAAATACAGGGTTTTTTTTAAAAAAAAAAAGAAACTAAGGGAAAGTGGCGGGGAGCCGCCGCCCAACAAGCTCCTTCGTCCTTAGAGCCCCTCGCCCTATCCCCACCCAAGAGCTGAGGGGTCCGGGGGCCAGCAGCGCCCCTCCCCGGGCCGAGGCGCTCCCCGGGCCGAGGCGCTCCCC